AGGACACGGTTATCTTTTTCAATCAGGAGGGAGACACAAACTCCTGGCCCTGAACTCCAGTTCCGGGCGGGTCTCTGGGGACCCAGACTCATACGGGGAGAAACTGGACTGTCTGGCATCGGTCAGAACTCGAGGGAAGCTTTCTCTCAGAGGTGCTTGCAGCGAATACTGAGGAACACTGAGACCCGGGGCCTCTTAGGGCATAACTGAGGATCAGCCATAGTTGTTTGCCCTGTTGATTCCCTGAGACCCCACCCAACTCGAGTTGTGCTCAGAGGCTTTTGCATATGAATGACCTGGCCCTTTGTAATCTAAAATTACCTAACAAACTGCAGCTGGGTCAGAGAGACCCAGAACATCCAAAAGAAGGCCCAAGGCCCCATAGCAGCTTGCATTGCTTCACAGCTGGGCCTCATCTGGACACCTCTAAACCCCAAACAAAGAAGAGGCATCTGCAGATCTCTCCATAGCTCCTGCTGGGTAGCCTCAGGCAGAGGCTAAATTAGTACCTCCTTAGAGATCCAAGAGCCAGTGTACCCAGTGGTCAGAGTGGGACCATCCAATTACAACTCCTCAGATCCATAAGGGACACACTCAGGGGGCAGACTCAGCACCAAAGCCCCACTGAAGCAAGTCTTGCCCCATAAGGGTAGACAACTGAGGACAGTTGTACTTGCCTCTGTACTTGCAAGGGAGCAAGTACTCTGTACTTGCAAGGGCCACTCACTCCTTCTCAAGTCTGTTCTTGCCCCATAAGGGTAGACAATTGAGTGGTTGTGTTCTCCCACAGTTGACATAGCTGATTCTCACAGCCAATTGGCCTGGAGGTCAATTCCTCCCAGTGATACCTACAACAATCAAGGCTTAACTACAACAAGACTGTGCACATAGCCCATAAAGGGGTGCGCCAAGAGTGTCCACCTCAGGTAATTGGGGAGGCTGAGCCACTGGGCCCTATAGGACACCTAGCACAGAAAGCCACTCTTTGGGAAACAGCCAAAATGAGGAGACATAAAAAGGGTCACAAATGACAGAAATGGAGGAAAGCAAACTACTGGATATAGAGTTCAAAACCACGGTTATAAGCTTTTTCAAGAATTTTCTAGAAACCGCTGATAAATTTAGTGAGACCCTCAATAAATCTAGTGAGACCCTCGAGGATATGAAAAAGGACCAACTAGAAATTAAGCATACACTGACTGAAATAAAGAATATTATACAAAGATCCAACAGCAGAGTAGAAGATCCCAAGAATCAAGTCAAAGATTTGAAATAGGAAGAAGCAAAAAACAACCAACCGGAAAAACAAAAAGAAAAAAGAATCCAAAAATATGAAGATAGTGTAAGGAGTCTCTGGGACAACTTCAAGCGTACCAACATCCGAATTCTGGGGGTGCCAGAAGAAGAGAGAAAGCACGATATTGAAAACCTATTTGAAGAAATAATGACAGAAAACTTCCCCTACCTGGTGAAAGAAATATACTTACAAGTTCAGGAAGCACAGAGAACCCCAAACAAAAGGAGTCCAAAGAGGACCACACCAAGGAACATCATAATTAAAATGCCAAGGGCAAAAGACAAAGAGAGAATCTTAAAAGCAGCAAGAGAAAAACAGTCAGTTACCTACAAGGGAGTACCCATACGACTGTCAGCTGATTTCTCAATAGAAACTATGCAGGCCAGAAGGCAGTGGCAAGAAATATTCAAAGTGATGAATAGCAAGAACCTACAACCAAGATTACTTTACCCAGCAAAGCTATCATTCAGAATTGTAGGTCAGATAAAGAGCTTCACAGATAAGGAAAAGCTAAAGGAGTTCATCACCACCAAACCAGCATTATATGAAATGCTGAAAGGTATCCTTTAAGAAGAGGAAGAAGAAGAAAAAGGTAAAGATAAAAATTATGAACAACAAATATTTATCAACAAGTGAATCTAAAAATCAAGTGAATAAATAATCTGATGAACAGAATAAACTGGTGATTACAATAGAATCAGGGGCATAGAAAGGGGGTGGACTGTCAATTCTCAGGGTGTCGGGGGAAGGTGTGGGGCGTGCGGGAAGAGACTGGACAAAAATCGTACACCTAAGGATGAGGGCATGGGGGGCAGGGGGGGTAAGGGCAGTGGATGGATTGGGAACAGGGTGGAGGGGAGCTATGGGGGGGAGGAACAACTGCAATAATCTG